TCCAATGACTCCAGATAACCATGCAGGGTAAAAAACTTAAAGAATAAGGGGTTGGGAGTACCAACTCACTTCACCATATAAATGGTACATGTATTTAGATATTGGTTTTTGAGATAATGAAGTTTAACTTTTAAGTTAAAGGCTGAAAAAGATGTTATGTTAAAATTTTCCACAAGTGACACCGTGTCTTACTGAAATCATCCCTGTGTATTTCTTGTAAAAGTATTTTTCTACTTACTGATTGTCAAAGAATGGATATCCTCAATCAGTAACACATTTGGTTTACTTACTATGTAGTTATGCTGTGTAAATGTTTTGTCAAGCAATTATTATGACAGTGATGTAGCAAAACACTGATGATTCTGTAGTATGACACGTGTTACTAACATGATTGCATCAAAGATGTCAGATGAATAGAAAAGTCTAGAAATTAAAAATCAAAAGTCAAAGTTCAAGAAATGAGGGTCTGGGAGTATTAGTGTTTTGGATACAATTTCAGGAGTACTGTTGGAGAGAGTACAGTTGAATTATATATCCTCATGCTCACTCCAGATTCAGAGTTCCGGAGATGAGGTCTCTTGATATTTGGGTCAAAGAAGAAAGAGAATGTTAGCAAAGTTGACAATCTAAACAGAAACATGTAACCTTTAGGTGGAAATTAAACAAATATTTATCCTTTTATTACGATATCAACTTACAAGCTAAGAAGGAAGACCCACTCGTTGCTTTGCAACGAGCTTTGCTCTAGTTATTATTATTATTATTATTTTTCTTCCTGGGTACTTTTTTGTCCGTGAGTGATCTCCGAAACTACACATCCGATTGAGGTGAAACCTTTTTAGGGTTACTAGGCATGTTATGTAGATTTGCGGAACGAAGGTCATTTTGCGCGCACGCGCATGCACGTGCGTGCGCGTGCAATGCGTAAAATGACAAATATACTTGATATAGCTGTAACTTTTATATTTTTTGATAAAATGCTTTGATACTCAGAATATAAGGATATATTAAAAGTGTGAACAAGATGACATGGTCAACATGCACATGCATGCACGTGCGCGCACGCGCAAAGCGTAAAATGACCAATTTACTTGATATAGTTGTAATTTTGAAACTTTTTGATGAAATGCTTTGATACTCAAAACATTTATATGTATTTAAAGTGTAGACAAGACGACATGACCATCATGCACATGCATGCATATGCATGCACGTGCGCGCGCGTGCAATGTGTTAAATGACCAATTTACTTAATATAGCCATACTTTTTATATTTTTTGATGAAAAGCTTTGATATTAAGAATATACAGATATATTAAAAGTGTAGACAAGATGATGTGGCCATCATGCACATGCATGCACATGCGCGCGCGTGCAATGTGTTTAATGACCAATATACTTAATATAGCCATAACTTTTATATTTTTTGATGAAAAGCTTTGATACTAAGAATGAACAGACATATTATAAGTGTAGACAAAATGGCATGGTCATTATGAACATGCATACAGGTGCGCGTGCGCGCAATGCTAAGATGACCAATATACTTGATATAGCCGGAACTTATATATTTTTTGATGAAATGTTTTGATACTGAGAATATAAAGATGCATTTATAGTATAGACGGAATTACATGGTCAACCTGCACATGCCTGCATGCACGTGCGCGCGCGTGAAATGCGTTAAATGACCAATATACTTAATTGCCTTATTTAATGAAGCTTACAGGAAATGACACCAAAAGGGAGTTGGGGAGCGTTTGGGGAACATCTGTAACGGTCCCCGTTACAATTAATACTAGTTATTATTATTCTTTTTTCTTCTTATTTCTTCTCCGGTACTTTTTTGTCCGCGAGTGTTCTCGGTAACTGCTCATCCAATTGAGTTAAAACCTTTTTAGGGTTAATAGGCATGTTATGTAGATTTGCGGAACAAAGGTCATTTTGCGCGCACGTGCATGCACGTGCGTGCGCGTGCAATGGGTAAAATGACCAATATACTTGATATAGCTGTAATTTTTATATTTTTTGGTGAAATGCTTTGATACTCAGAATATAAGGATATATTAAAAGTATGAACAAGATGACATGGTCAACATGCACATGCATGCGCGTGCGCGCACGCGCAAAGCGTAAAATGACCAATTTACTTGATAATATCGTAACTTTTATACTTTTTGATGAAATGCTTTGATACTCAAAATATTTATATATATAGAAAGAGTAGACAAGATGACATGGTCATCATGCACATGCATGCATATGCATGCACGTGCGCGCGCGTGCAATGTGTTAAATGACTAATATAATTAATATAGCCGTAATTTTTATATTTTTTGATGAAAAGCTTTGATATTAAGAATATATATATATATATTAAAAGTGTAGACAAGATGATTTGGCCATGATGCACATGCATGCACATGCGTGCGCGTGCAATGTGTTAAATGACCAATATACTTAATATAGCCGTAACTTTTATATTTTTTGATGAAAAGCTTTGATACTATGAATTAACAGACATATTATAAGTGTACACAAAATGGCATGGTCATTATGAACATGCATGCATGTGCGCGTGCGCGCAATGCTAAGATGACCAATATGCTTGATTTAGCCGGAACTTATATATTTTTTGATGAAATGTTTTGATACTGAGAATATAGAGATGCATATATAGTATAGACGGGATGACTTGGTCATCCTACACATGCATGCACGTGCGCGCGTGAAATGCAAAAAATGACCAATATACTTCATTGCCTTATTTAATGAAGCTTACAGGAAAAAAGTCACCAAAAGGGAGTTGGGGAGCGTTTGGGGAACATCTGTAACGGTCCCCGTTACAATTATAACTAGTTATTATTCCTTTTTTCTACTTTCTTCTCCGGTACTTTTTTGTCCGGGAGTGTTCTCATAAAACCACTCATCAGATTGACATGAAACCTTTTTAGGGTTAATAGGTATGTTGTGTAGGTGTTCGGAACGAAGGTCATTTTGCGCGCACAAGCATGCACGTGCGTGCGCGTGCAATGAGTGAAATGACTGATATACTTCATGAAGCCGTAACTTTTATATTTCTTGATGAATTGCTTTGAAACTCAAAATATAAAGATATATTAGTAGTCTAAACAAGATAACACGGTCAAATTAGCGTGAACTCACGCGCATGCACGTGCGCTCTTCTCTGATTGGCTGATACAAAAATCTCAATAATTTCCTTGTTTTTTGACAAAATACTTTGAAATTTAGAATATAAGTATATATTATAAGGTGCTACAACATGTTATATAGGAAATTTCTTGAAAACATGCAGGTGTGCTGCAATCTGATTGGTTGAAACTTTAAATGTCCATAACTCCCTTGGTTTTCAACAAAACAGGATGAAATTTACGACATGGATAGGCACATAGAGCTCCTACATTATGATACTATCAAAATTGAATGCAAGGCCATGCATGCGCGTATGCTGAATTCTGATTGGCTAATACTTAAAGGGTTACATCTCTCTTATTTTTCAATGAAATTCTTTAATATTTAACACAAATGTATGTATTGTGACACACTATAAGAAAATTATTGTGAAAATTGTAGAAAACATGTGCAAGCACATGCGCTGAAATTTGATTGGCTAATACCCATATGGCTATATCGGAGTAGTTTTCCAATGAAATACCCTTAAAAATAAAGTGTCCATCTATATTACAAAAGTATTGTCTAATTTATTGAAGCTTGTAGGGAATGGGGCATCATAAGGGATTGGGGAGCCGTTTGGGGAACATCTGTAACGGTTCCCGATACAATTAGCACTAGTTCTTATTTAAATTGTAAGGCACTTTTGCTATATGTAATAAAATTACATATATGTACGCTGTTTAAATCATTGGCTTAAAAATGGCATTCGACGCAACTTAATTACCCGGAAGATAGACAATGTTAACAATACTCTCGAGCTCTCTGGATAGTAAAAGCCAAAAAAAAAATCTTTTTTAAAACAATGATACATAAGTCAAATCAGAATGAAAGTATTTCCACATAGTGCACATTGATGTCGATTAAAGTTGTTATTCATCATAAAGGACATTTGAAAGATATAATGAGGGCAACAGATCATCGCTATCTCTTCAATTTACCTCAGGTGAGCATTTTGATCCACAAGCCCCTTGATTTATCAATTCTTAATTTTTTTTTATATACCTCCCAAAAAAAGATATATCCCTAATAAAATCTACCAGGGGTCATTATTCTAAGGGGGTCATTTTTCTTCACGTAGGGTATGAAGATTTTAAGGGTGATGCCACTTTTTTTTAATGGCAAAAGGGTAATTATTCGACGTCGAAGAATGATCGGAGGGTCATTATTCGACGTCGAATAATGACCGAGAGCTTTATTCGACGTCGAAAAATGTTCCCCTGTCATTATTCTATGGGGGTCATTATTCGTCTTTACACCGGCCCTTCAGACAGTTTTTAACTCAAGAGGCTGACCGGAAAATTTAAATATAGTTCTGAGATAAATTCAATACCCAAGTACCTGTGCATAATGCCAATATCTAGTCCATTGTATATTAATACCACATTCCCTTATGGCCAAGGACTAGTAATTGCAGGACTTCAGATATTCTTTGTTTTTACATTTTAATATTATGTTGCCGAAATTTTCCTGTGCTTTACAAAGTCAAGAAATTTAAAAGAAATTGATTTTTGAGTTATTCCAGCTAATACTACTTCAAATAAAAGCCTTGCCGAAACATTTATTTTGTTCTCTTTCAAAAACAAAAATAAACAACATTTTGGAAACTCTTGTAATTGAAAAAAAAAAACTTATAGTCAGTATATATTTCAGAACCTTTATAATTTGTTTTCGGTATTTAACGAATTCATCAAATAAAGAGGCCGAAAAAAAAATTAATTTTGCTTTGTGAAATAAAAGTCTGGTTACGCACCTCGCATCACATGAACATGACTAGCAAAACTAACTTTCGGTTAATATCTGTACAGGTATCTGTGGGAACACAACATACAGCTCTAGAGCACAAATTTGTTGTGGCGGGGTGGTCAATTTAAAAAGCTTTGGTACAAGCTGCTGTGGAAGAAGAATGTACAACTGGAGCAATCAAATTTGTTGCAGAGGGCAGATTAATTCGAAAGGCTCTTACACAAGGTGCTGTGGAAGGAGGACGTACAACTTCCGCTTTCAAGTTTGTTGTGGCGGGCGGATTCATTCCAAGAGCTCTGGCACAAGCTGCTGTGGAAAGAGGGCGTACTTCCCTCGCTTTAAAGACTGTTGTGATGGAGTTATCTGCTAAAATATTATGCTAATTTTCTCAAATTTTATTTGAGTTATTAAAATTTGATTGATATTAATTGTCTTTTTACCCGTACATACCCAAAAAGGGAGATATTGCAATTACGCATAATAAGTTGATTCCATGAATGTATACAGATAAATAAAATATTACAAATTGATTGATTGATTATAAGTAGTTTTACGTCCCATTCGAAAATTTTTCACCCATAACCTCGTATAAAGGCCTAGCTGCACAACCGTGACTCTCTGCTTTTTGCAATTCGCTTCGGGCATTATTTCTTGTATTTTACGCTTTTCCCCACTTTAAGAATGGTATCCGATAATTAACCATATATTTTACTCCTATTCCTCATACTTTATTCACCTTTCAACGGTTCCTAAAGGCCGTTTGTGGTTTCGAAGTATCAGTTTAAAAAAATACATTCTGACGTCCATGGTGGTGTCATCCTGAAATAACACGCATATTTTTACATGCATAATGTCTTCTTTATAGACTTTGAACCTCCTGAATTTTTTATTTACATTTTCTCGGCAAGTGTATTTTCTTTGAAAAACTTTTTTTCGCACGACCCCAACATGGACGTTGGAATGGGAATTTTTTTTTAGACCGACATTCCAAAACCGTAAAGGGCTGTTTGGGACCGTCAAAAAAGCAAGTGACAAAAAGCGGCTGCGTAAATCGAAGGTTTTTACAATGCTTGGATCTGTAGCTCTCTGCTTTATCTGTCCGAATTTTCCCAAGCAGAGAGCTACATGTACCTTTAAAAAATAAATTATCCTCCGAAAAATTACAATGTGATACATGTATTACTGTATCTAAAAATAAGCGTTCTATTGGTTCTCAGATTTTCAAAATTAAAATGTCAACTCTAGGAAAACTTTATATCCTTAAAGTTGTTAAATTAATTATACTTTCATGTAGTCCGAAATATCTGACGTTTTCCTAGCTTTTTCACGATTTTGATACTTTACGTGCCAGGAAAACGTCAGATATATGATAAATCTGATAAATATAGATCAACTTCACAAACCAGAAAAGACAATGAGCACGCACAATCGTCAGTTTTTCTTTTTACTTTCTATTCTTAGACCTTGATATGTACAAACCTTTTGGTATAGATTGATATCCGCTTGTAAATTATAACATGGGTGAGTTCAATTAAAAGAGAGAAAATCATATTAAGCACATATGAGAAGTAATGGCATAAACTGTTCTTTACAGAGGATTATTTTTCCTTCAAAGCGTCAAAATTCACGCCTGGTTTGAAGTTATCACCATTTGATTTAAATTTAGAGGACTTCACTATGTGCAATAGGATTTTTTAACTTAACGAGGTTCGCTCCTGAGCTTTTGAGCAGATTTATATTTTAACCTATATTTCAAAAATTCTGCATAAAGTTATAATTCTTACAATAATTTTGAATTCTATAATGCCAATTAAACTATATTCAGTTAAAACTCCATGATTAAATTCCATACCAAAAGCATTAAGTGAGGAACTATATTTTGTGGCGGAAGGTTTTTTAGAAGAAAATGATCATTTTTTCTCATTCGAAGTATTTAAAGTATGCTAAGTTTGGATTCCTATTTTTACATGCAGTCTGCACTCAGAGTTATTTTGTGCAGTGAACTGTTTTATACTGGTCCTAAATTATATGTTAAATAAACTTTCATGAATTCTATCATCATATTTGATAAATATAGCAAATATATTGTGAAAATCAAGAAAAAAATATCCCTATTTTAAGCTTAAAATTAGCACTATTTTAGTTATATATCTAAAAATTAACATCACAGACCCCCACTTTTTATTTTCTTTTCTAAATATATAAGATACTTTTAACCATTCCTCTTAAAGTCAGTAAAATGTCATTACTTTCAAATGATATTTTTCTTGTTAAATTTTTAATGCCAGAAAAATGAATTTTTTTGAGTGCAAAAAGGTCAAATAACTGAATATGCGGAGTAATTTGAAATTTTTTTACTTGTCACAAATTTTAATGTGTCTATTCAAAATGAAATAAGACTGTGTTTGTTCCCATAATTTATTTGAATAAAAAATATTGGAGGAAAAACTTTAAAAATTGATTTATTTGAAAGACGTATTTACAGTGCAAAAAGGTCAAACTAAATGCTCTGTAGTGCCAAAAGAAGCGCATTGACCCCCATTTTTTGTTTTGATTTTTAATTAAGCTATGTGTATAAATTCTAAAAATATACTTGATTAAAAATTCACATTACTTTTGATGGCAGGATCCAACCTCCTTAAGGCACTGGAATTTTTAGCGATGAAAGAGGACATTTGATGTGTTGCGCCTAGGTTTTGAAATTTTCTTGTACAGAAAATTTAGGACACAAATCTATGGTGAATTTTCAAGATTTTCATATCTCTTTAACTATTAATATATTGTTGAAACATATTGTACAGTACATGTGCAGAATAGCAAAAATCTTTCAAATGTTATCAAAGAAAAAGGGCTAGTCCTTATAATTATGGATGTAGAAGGGCCGAAATTACTTTCCTTAATACTACTGAGAATGTGTAAAACATTAAAGAAAGCAAAATTGTTCAAAATCGTCGAATGCAACCACTTTCAAGTCTAACCGATTGCAGTAATATATATTTTTTAGATACCTTATTGAAAATGAATCATTAACGTCAATAAAGACGTTTGACATCATATTTTGTCGAAAGATGTCTCTTCCAGTCAAACTGGACGCAGTCTTATATCTTTTATGTTTCACACATATCGGGGTATAATGCAACGATTAATCTAAATAAAAATGTTATATTTTCCTTCGTAGACAACATTTCGACGTCATTTAAGGCCAAATTAGAAATAGTCATTTTAAGTTAATTTCCAGATATATGCATTTTGGGTGATTAGGAATTCTGAAGACACCGGACAACATTTTTAACGAATGGTTTCATTCAGGTAAGGAAATTCTTTATATCATTTTTATACGTTTCTCTTTGTCAAAACCCTATTGCCTGTTTCAGACGGAAGACCAACTCTTTGCTAGCAACGAGGATCACATCTAGTTATATTTCTATATTGAATTGTGTCCTTATTTTTCTTCCACATTTGAGCAGCAATCAGATGTCCAACTGCATCTCATCGATAACAGAGTAAATTTTGTTAGTATTGGAACAAGGAAATACATAGTAAAATGTAAATATTTCATTTTTCGCCATACTTGACTATTCATTCATCATTAAAACTTATGATTTTTCAACACATACGTACAATCATTCTCCTCGATCAATTCAAGATCAGGCTTTTTGACCTCACACGCAAATGCTTCTTCAATAAAATTGGAACTCGCAATGGTTCACTTCTATATAAATAGGGATCTGACCTATAGGGCCGAGATCGGTTTTTTCGTTTACAAAAAGCTTGTCGATTTCCGTTCCGGTTAATGACTTTAGGCTAAATGCATGTTATAATTTGTTCTTCATAAATCTTTATTTCAATAAGGAGAGGTAGGACGAACCCTTTCGTCGAGACGGCATTGACTATGTAGCATGATATTTCCAACGCATTCTGAGTTTGTTATCTCGAAATGTTATAACTGATAATTTTCTTCACTTCTCATTGTACATAATGGTAATGTCTACGTCTCAATTCTATTCTTGGTGTGTATAAATTTATCTAACAACACATTTCCATGGATATAATAATAGCAAATTATATAAATGAATCCAAGGGAGTGTAGTAACTGATATGTAGCCCTACTCTTTAACTTCAGATCTGAGTTTAGAACATTGACCCAGTATAAAATTACATGTATGTTATTCTAAATTAATATATTAAGCTCAAAATAATTCAAGCAATACGTAACATATTGTCCCAGACAAGCACTAGTAGTAAAAACGGAATAAAAGCAATGTGATTAAATTCTAAGAAACGTATACAATTGAAATCCATCGCAGCTCATTGCAACGAGCATACCGGTATCGAGGAACACAGAGTGAGTTATTCTTGCCCTCGAAGAAAGTGTGCTATACTGAGGTATTGTTCCGCTTAATTATCTCGAAAGAATAAGCAATTCAGAATGGCAGTATCTGTCATGGCTTTATTCTTGTTTAACATTATAAGGTAATTACATAATAAAACAATGGTATCAACGCTTAATTAACTGTGTTTTAGGTACATTGGAATGTTACAATTTGCTCTCTCTGAATTTCTTATATCAAGAATGGACATGCATTAAAGGATAGACAATTGAAGGAAAATACACAAGCCTTTTAAAAAAGTAAAATAATCTTTAACAAGAGGCCCATGGGCCACAACGGTCACCTGAGTAACTTTGGCCTTGCTGTTTTTCACCTGATCTCTCCCCCCTCCCTTGTAGTACTTATTGTGGCCCCGCCCTACCCCCAGGGGTCATGATTTAAACAATTAGAATCTGCACTACCCCAGAATGCTTCCATATTAGTTTCAGTTTTTCTGGCCCAGTGGTTTTTAAGAAGAAAATTTTTTACAACATATTTCAATGTAAAACTTGGATTCCCTATTGTGGCCCCGCCCCACCCCCGGGGGTCATGATTTGTGAACAATTAAGAATCTACACTATCCCAGGATGCTTCCATATAAGTTTCAGCCTTTCTGGCCCAGTGGTTCTTGAGAAGAAGATTTTTAAAGATTTTTACTACATATTTCAATGTAAAACTTGGATTCCCTATTGTGGCCCCGCCCTACCCCTGGGGGTCATGATTTGGATAATTTAGAATCTACACTTTCCCAAGATGCTTCCACATGAGTTTTAGCTTTTCTAGCCCAGTGGTTCTTGAGAAGAAGATTTTTAAAGATTTTTACTACATATTTCAATGTAAAACTTGGATTCCCTATTGTGGCCCCGCCCTACCCCTGGGGGTCATGATTTGGATAATTTAGAATCTACACTTTCCCAAGATGCTTCCACATAAGTTTCAGCTTTTCTGGCACAGTGGTTCTTGAGAAGAAGATTTTTAAAGATTTTTACTACATATTTCAATGTAAAACTTGGATTCCCTATTGTGGCCCCGCAATACCCCTGGGGGTCATGATTTTAACAATTTAGAATCTGCACTACCCCAATATGCTTCCACATAAGTTTCAGCTTTTCTAGCCCAGTGGTTCTTGAGAAGAAGATTTTTAAAGTTTTTTAACATTATATTTCAATGTAAAACTTGGATTTCATATTGTTGCCCCGCCCTACCCCTGGGGGTCATAATTTTAACAAGTTAGAATCTACTCTACCCCAAGATGCTTCCACATAAGTTTTAGCTTTTCTAGCCCAGTGGTTCTTGAGAAGAAGATTTTTAAAGATTTTTACTACATATTTCAATGTAAAACTTGGATTCCCTATTGTGGCCCCGCCCTACCCCTGGGGGTCATGATTTTAACAATTTAAAATCTTCACTACCCCAAGATGCTTCCACATAAGTTTCGGCTTTTCTGGCACAGTGGTTCTTGAGAAGAAGATTTTTAAAGATTTTTACTACATATTTCAATGTAAAACTTGGATTCCCTATTGTGGCCCCGCCATACCCCTGGGGGTCATGATTTTAACAATTTAGAATCTGCACTACCCCAATATGCTTCCACATAAGTTTCAGCTTTTCTAGCCCAGTGGTTCTTGAGAAGAAGATTTTTAAAGATTTTTACATTATATTTCAATGTAAAACTTGGATTCCATATTGTTGCCCCGCCCTACCCCTGGGGGTCATGATTTTAACAAGTTAGAATCTACTCTACCCCAAGATGCTTCCACATAAGTTTTAGCTTTTCTAGCCCAGTGGTTCTTGAGAAGAAGATTTTTAAAGATTTTTACTACATATTTCAATGTAAAACTTGGATTCCCTATTGTGGCCCCGCCCTACCCCTGGGGGTCATGATTTTAACAATTTAGAATCTTTACTACCCCAAGATGCTTCCACATAAGTTTCGGCTTTTCTAGCCCAGTGGTTCTCGAGAAGAAGATTTTTTAATGACCCCACCCAATTTTCGTATTTTCTTGATTATCTCCCCTTTGAAGGGGATTTGGCCCTTCATTTTAACAATTTAAACCTCCCTTCTCCCAAGGATGCTTTGTACCAAGTTAAAATTGGCCCAGTGGTTCTTGAGAAGAAGTTGAAAATGTGAAAAGTTTATAGACGGACGGACGGACAACGGGTGATCAGAAAAGCTCACTTGAGCTTTCAGCTCAGGTGAGCTAAAAAGGCAAGAATTGAAAACGTTCAAAATGTGGCACCAGGTGGATTCGAACCCCTGACATTAAAAAGTACCCACTGTGTGAATAGTCAACGTTTAGATCAAATAAGCTATTCTGACTTTTATGAAACAATGTATAAATGTGAAGCCGTTTGTCAAAATCAGGTTTCCCTATTTTTTTTGCAGGTTTTTTGAAATATCACGATTATATTTAGGGGCAGGCCTGTCCTGAAGGACTTCTAGGACAAAAATCATGCAAAAATCGGCGCTTTGACGGACAAAATGCTGTTTTGGCCAACTTTAGAGGTTTATTCTAAATTTGTAAATAATAAATTTTAGGTGCAACATACAAATTTGAAAAATTTAGACATATGTACGGTTGAAAACAACTAATGAACAAGGATTTTTAAATGTCATTTTTTCCGGGAATTTATTCTCTCCTATAGGTCAATTCTTTTGAAATTGTGAATACATCCTTTTCATATCTTTTCATTGGTCTATAAACTCCCTTTGTTGAAAAGCATTCTGATTGGACAACAAGTACTCGGAGGTGAATATTAAAAAGATGCTTAAGTTCCTCATTGAAAATGTCTTTGGAGAGTAGGTCTTTCAAAATATTTACGAAGGGTATAAGCATTTACTGAGCTGTATTTCTTTAAGAGAATCCAGTTCTTTTAATCTAATAAATAATAGAATATCAAAATGATAGTATCAGACTTAATTAACTTTTGACTGATGTCTTTCATATAAATTGTTAGGCAATTATATTCATACAGACTACAGATTTTTTCGTTTACACGATCATGACATAGATTACACGGTGGATGAGACCAGTTGTCAGAAAAGCTTATCCTCCATGGCACCTGAATCGACCTCTGTTTTCAGAGGTCCATTTTGGAATGCTCATAATTATATATATTTTTCAAATGAACTTTTGAGAATGACCAATGTTCGATATCTTCATATTTCATAAATGAAATGTGTAGCTAACGATCGGTAATGCTGAAAAGTCAAATTAAACACTTCAAATTGTGAGTAGAGCAAACACAGACCTATGAAAACATCAAAGGTAAGAGCAGGTGCCAAGGTTAAAGTTTTTTAAAAGTAGGTCAAACTCCAAGGTCAAGGTCAATGCCAAAATTGTTGGTATCCAAAGGAAAGTCTTGTCACAAGGAATGCACATGTGAAAGATGAAAGCCCTTACATCAAATGTTTTAAAGTTATGGCCAAGGTAAAAGTTTTTCAAAAGTTTTTCAAACTCCTAGGTCAAATTTAAAGGGTCAAAATTGTTGGTATCGAAAGGAAGGTCTTGTCACAAGGATTACATATGTGAAGTATGAAAGCCCTAACATCAACCATTCAAAAGTTATCACCTAGGTTAAAGTTTTTCAAAAGTAGGTCAAACTCCTAGATCAAGGTCAAAGGGTCAAAGTGGTTGGCATCCAAAGGAAGGTCTTGTCACAAGGAATGCACATGTGAAAGATGAAAGCTCTTGCACCAAATATTTAAAAGTTATGACCAAGGTTAAAGTTTTTCAAAAGCAGTTCAAGCTCCGAGGTCAAGGTCAAAGGGTCAAAATTGTTGGTATCCAAAGGAAGGTCTTGTCACAAGGAGTACATATGGGAAGTATGAAATCCCTAGCATCAGCCATTCAAAAGTTATGACCAAGGTTAAAGTTTTTCAAAAGTAGTTAAAACTCCTAGGTCAAGGTCAAAGGGTCAAAGTGGTTGGCATCCAAAGGAAGGTCTTGTCACAAGAAATAGACATCTAGCAAGCCCTAGCACCAACTATTCAAAAGTTATTGATAAGGTTAAAGTCTCATAAAATTTTGCAAAAATCTGGTCAAACTCCAAGGTCAAAAGGTCAAACATGATGGTACCCAAAGAAAGGTCTTGTCACTAGAAATACACATGTGAAATATGAAAGTCATAGCTCCAACCAATCAAAAGTTTTGGACAAAGTTAAAGTTTTTGCAGACAAACGGACAGACAGACGGACAGACAGACGGACGGCCAGGGCAAAAACTATATACCCCCAAATCTTCGACACGGGGGCATAAAATTATTTCCATTTTTAGAAACATCAAGTCGATATTCATTTCAGAATCTTAAAATAGTAACACGTCTATATGCTGTTATATACTTGATCACGTGATCAAGTTTGAGCCAATCACAGAACTTGGAAGAAATGAATATATATATATATATATATATATATATATATATATATATATATATATATATATATATATATATATATATATATATATATATATATATATATATATATATCTTGTATACTTTATTAAGTGCAACATGGAATTGTTATTTTTTAAAAGTTTGTTATATAATGGAAAATTTGCTTTTAATAAGTTTTTTACATAATGGTAAATTTGTTTTTTTTAAAGTTGTCAAAAATAAAAAAAAAATGATAAAAAAAAGAAAAAAAAGAGAAATACATTTTTTATTAATTTCTTTTAGAAAATATTGTCATTTATAATTTTCAAAATCATATCGATCTCAATACTTCATATCTTTAAAACAATGTGTAAAGAAAATCATAACATATTTCCTTACAGAGCATTTCATTCATATAGTCTTCTCTCTGACATATTTTGATAAATGTGCATTAAGACTTGAAGCTGTGCCATTGCATATTCTGCAAAAAACATATGCTGGAAAGCACAATAAGCTCGAGAAAAAGTATCCAATATTCTGTTTGTAAATCGGATAAACATTTACAAATATATTTATTAGTAAGTTTTGCAAAATGTAGGACACTAAAAATGTTCCACTTCCTTGATATCAAGAAGACAAGTCCTTTTCCTTATCAACACTGATAATCATATCGACTCTCTATCATCTTACCATATACTACATGTCTGATTTTCGATTTCAGGTTGAAAAAAAAACAAAAATTAATTTTCACTGTCAGTCAGTGGACTCATAGCTCTTACATTTTTAGTCACAAAATTTTCGGACACCATTCGTTAACATTATCATAGGCCATACAATCGTAATTACATTTAGCTATCAAATTCAGTAGATTGATAAGTCTCTTCCTTTAGATATAGGTCATACATGTTCTAAGGACTTTACGATAGAAACAGAAATGGTTAGCATTCTTGTTTGTCTCTGTTTCATTTCTGGGCCATATATTCTATCAGGTAATGTACAATAAAATTTATTAAATTCATTTTTTTCTTAGTGATTTTTAAGATAATTTAGATTACCTTGTAAAATTTGAAGCTTTTTAGAGACTTTAAAATGAAACAAATAAAAAAGCGAGAAAAAAAATGAAAGAATAGGTAAGTGAAGTCACTTGTTAAACGTACAATTATTTTGAAGAATAATTATTTTTTTAGTATCGTCATCAAGAATAAGACTGGTAAATGGACATGGGTTACCTAACCAGGGACGATTAGAAATTTATGATAACCTACTGGGCGTTTGGGGAACAGTTTGTGATGATTTATTTGACAGAAACGCTGCTGGAGTCGTGTGCCAGCAGTTAGGATATAGCAGGTTAGGTGCGACAGTTAGTGGAAAAACTTGTTTATTTCTTGTTTTCATTAAAAGTCGATAATTAACGTCCTCGATGTAAATATATCTCTTTTGTGAAGTGTGGTTTAAAAATATTGCACCATTCAACTGGAAGAAATCAGAAATGCAGACAGAAAGCCTGACAAATCTAGATAGTGAAAAGTGTGCCATTTTGTAATTGTGATTGCAAAATCTCCAATTGCTAAATCAAGGAGTTGAAGATATAGGACATGAGCAGTATAAGGTTTTTTAATATTATATTCTATACTTCGACCAAAAGCATGACTAAGAATAGCCTTCTCAAGCAGAATTTCATTCAACAGTGTTATGTTCACAATAAAATGTCCTGTCTCTACGTAAAAGAAAAGAAAGTTACAGAAAGTTCAGTTTTAGGTCACCTGAACCAGGTTAAACCAAACTCTTTCTAGTATGCATCTATGAACAATGGGAATTTGAAAGGTGAAATATAAAGACAAAAAACAGTGAACATTTTCAAAGTCCATTTAATCATCACAAATTATGAGCAGAGCCAAAACAGACCTATAAAAACAGAAATGGGATCAGGTGCCATGAAACGTTCTTTCCAAGAGAAGATAATTTTATACAATAGGCCCATGGGCGACAATACTCAACTGAGTCACTATGACCTGACTGTTCTCAATCAGCATATTATTCCCTATTTATTACAATATTATTATTACTTTAAAAATATGAACTCCTCCCATGGTCTCATTCAATCTCTTAAGGACATAATTTGAATAAACTTGAATCTAAACTACCTGAGAATGCAATAATTGTGTCCTTTTATTCGAAGACCTATTTTTATATTCATGTGAAGCAGATTTTATTCAAAAACTTCTACATAAGAAGAAAACACTGTGGCCTTCATCTCGACATTTAGATATATCGACGACGTATTATCAATTAACAATTCTATTCCTATTTTGACTCGATATACTAGTATCCCGGTGGACCTGAAATAAAAAAAATACCACAGAGATTGACATATCTGTTCATATTTGGATATTTTACTAGACGTTAATGGTAACCTAACAACAAATTTTCATAAAAGACGTGATGACTTCAACCTTTCTATCGTTAACTTCCCTTATTTATGTAGCAATATACCCTTATTACATGCATATGGAGTTTATGTCTCCCAGTTGATTCGATACGCAAGAGCATGCTCTACGTGTGAACAGTTTCTAAAACGAGGCAAGCTTTTGACCTTTTGTCGATCGTTGACCTTGTCGGCAAACACAATCTATCATAAAGATTAATGCTGACTGATGTTTTTTCATACTAATTGTTAGGCCATTATTTATACACTGAATTGTCTGCGGATTTTTCCGTTTGGCCGATCATGACAAGGAGCACATGGCGGGTGTGACCGTCGACAGGGAATGCTTACTCCTCCATGGCCCCTGATCCCACCTCTGTTGCTTTTAGAGGTTTCTGTTTGCTATACTCCCGTTTTGTATTTTTGAGCTTGATTACTGTACGATATTTCCATATTTCATGCTTCCATATTCATAAAACTAATTATTGCTTTGCATTTCTTGAGAAGATTTTTTCCTATATATTCCTATGTTAATTTGACCGCCTATTGTGACCCCACTCTATCCCCGGGGGTCATGATTCTACAAACTTGAATATACACTACCTGAGGATGCTTTCATATTATCAAATATATGACTAATTATTGCTTTGCTGTTCTAAAGAAGAGTTTTAAAGATTTTTCCAATATATTCCTTAGTAAATCTTTGATCGCGTATTGTGGCCAAATCCAACCCCAGGAGGTTATGATTTGAACAAAATTGAATCTACAATAAGTAATAAAGTTTGCATATAGGCCTAAGTTTAATATTTTCTGACCCAGTGGTTCTTGAGAAGATTTATTTTATAAATACCATTAAATTTTCATTAATTCTTCATTATCTCCCCTTGAAAGAGGGCGTAGCCCTTCATTTCAACACATTTGAATTCCATTCACGCAAGAATGCTTTGTGGCAGGTTTAGTTGAAATTGACTCAGTGGTAACCTTGAGAAAAGTCGAAAAATAAGTCGAAAAATGTGAAAAGTTTACGACGACTTCAACAACAAAACATTTTGATCAGAAAGGCTTAGTACTTGAGCCTTCGGCTCAGATGAGCTAAAATGTGAAACTACAGTATGTCCAGTTAAAATCTTTGGAAGAACAATAAGTTAGGAATGACATAATGTTCATGTATGTACAAACTTCTATACACACTGAAGATGTAAAGTTCAAACCATTGCCCCCAGGCTAAGAATGGGCCATAAATGATATCGAAAATTTTATGTAGAATCTTAATTTAGTTGGAAAAGTAGAAGCAAAACATTTCAAGTCTTCATTAGACCTTCTATGCTACAGAATCGTCTAATATACTCAACAAAAAGAAACGCATATTCAGATTAAACATGATAATTTAATTCTTCAGTTTATGTGTTATTTTTATTTTTTAAGTGTAATAAAGCGCCTTGAGATAAAATTCAAACATGTCTCATGTTGCTGTTTTGAAAAGTTAAGAATAATATCACAGCTTTTCTTGGTCCATACAAGGGAAGAATTTAATGACTGTATAACAGTGAGTTTTAATATCGCGTTTGTCCTCCGTTTGCATCAATTGCAGCCTGAACACGTCGCGTCATAGAGTTAATAAGCTTGTTGATGGTAACCTGAGGGATGTTGTTCCATTCCTGCAACAAGCCCTGCTCTAGATCCTGGATGGTGGCTGGTGGGTTGGGACGGCATCTAACTCGTTTATCCAGCTCATCCCATAGATGTTCTAGCGCATTAAGGTCTGGTGAGAACGCTGGCCATGGAAGAACATCTACGTTGTTCTGCAGAAAACCCGATCACACCCTTGCCACATGCAGCCTTGCGTTGTCCTGTTGCAGAGTCAGATTGTGCTGATGGACAGATGGAACAAGCAAAGGAGCAAGGATTTCATCGCGAGATTTTAGTGCATTCATATTGCCATGAATTACGTGGAGTGGTGTTCGCCTTCCTTAAGCAATACCTCCCCACACCATAACGTTTCCACTACCAAATCGATCTCTTTCAATAACACAACAGTCTGCAAAATACTCATTCTTTCGGCGATGCACACGTGGACGACCATCAGCTCTATACAAGTTGAATTTCGACTCATCTGTGAAGAGAACTTGATGCCATTGTCGCCGCCTCCAAATTCTAGGGTCATGCCGTCTTAACCAATCCATTCGTCCCTGGCGACGTCTCGGCGTTAACAGATTTCCAATGTACGGACGTCGTGTACGAATTCCAGCTCCTCGCAGTCTGTTAAGAACAGTTTTGACACTTATACGCTGATTTCTTCGTCCAGCAATTGTAGCAGTAGTTTCTACAGCAGTTCTGAATCGATTGCGCAGATGCTGAAGGCGGATCTGACAATCCTGACTGGGATTGGTTACCCGCGGACGGCCAGTTCTTGGTCTGTCATCCGTGCTTCCTAGCTGGTGGAGACGTACATTTAACCGCTGCACAGTCGATTGATGTACTCCAAATGCAGTTGCAACTTCCTGTTGCATAGCTCCAGCTAGTAGCATTGTTACAGCCTGGTTGCGTTCATCTTTGCTTAGGCGTGGCATTGCAGCATCAAACACGCAATAAAACCGTAGATCTGGGTTTGATAGGAGTGGTAATTACTTCTGTAAATCCAAAATATCAATGACAATAGATCCCCGATTTACAAGAAATCGTGCAAAACACTCTTTTTATAAACATGATTAATCAAGCGAAACATTTCGACACTTGGGTTTTAAAAGCCAATGTTGTCCTTTAAATAGGTCAGAGGTATCCAATGATAAAAGTAATAGTTGTTCTATGTACTGTTTCAAAATTTCTTTGATGAGTAAAAAAAAAATGCGTTTCTTTTTTGTTGAGTATATATGCTTACATCTCCATACAGCCCCATGAGCAAGGGGAAGGGATGCAACAGGGGTCAAAATTTTAATTTCGAAAATTACTGCAAAATTCTAATTTTTAGAAACATCAAGGATATGCAAAAATCATCCCTGTAGCATGGACTTAAGTTTGTTAAAACTATGGCTCCCAATGTATAATAAAATCTTTAATAATCCTTTTCTGAAGCTTTCAAAGACATACATGTAAACATTTAATTCATTTTGTAGCGTAGAATCAAGTCAGGAAGTTATAAATGACGAAAAATTTTCATATTAAAAAGATATTCTCAAAGGCTCCCTTTCAAATTCTCTAGTTATTATAAAAACATCCCAGTGTAGTGAGAATTTGAATATTTTATTTAAATCAATGCCCTTTGGACCAATGAGACATATCTCTCAAATTTTACAATAAAGTAGATCAGAAAAAAGAGCGAGTGAAGTGGTCCATAAAACCTTAAATTGCAGTTGAAATGATTTAAAGATATTAACTTTTGATATTTATACATTAAAATGTCTTTCTTTGTTTGTAAATGCAAGGATAACGGTTGCGACGACGCAGTAAAAATACATAACCAGCCTAAGCAGGTTATGTAATTTTTTCTGCAATGTTTGCAACAATGTTTTGGAGAAAGTGTTTAAAATATTGTATTATTGGTTCATACTTACGTTACACTGATGGAAGAGCCCATTTCTTCAGAAATCTTAAAAACAGATGACTTTAAAAACCGGTTCTTACTAGTTTAATATTAATGGATTGATCATGGCAATGGGTTTTCTTACGAAATAAAGGAAATATTCAGTGGATGTAACAACATATATTAAGCCAGTTGACATAATTATGATACTCTCCTGGGATATCATTAATCTACCACAATCGTAATAAACAAATTATAAAAACAATGTAGATCATGACTTTAAAAGCAGCATTTAATACTGATTAATATAACATTTTGTGTGACAGATTTAATGCGCAGGTGAAGTCCCAAGCCTATTTTGGCAGAGGATCAGGTCGAATAGCTTATGATGACGTCAAATGTGGTGGGTCAGAGACGGATTTAAGTCAGTGTCAGCACTCCAGAATCAGTGATTGTACACATGCAGAGGATGTAGGAATTATATGTCAAAGCACTTCAACTGGGGGTATGGAAGGAGTTCTAGTTTATTATAGAATCAAGACACCCTTGTTGTGTTCTCCCATTTACATGGAAGGTTATAAAATAATGTACAATAGTTACAGGTTTCCTAAAACAAAATTTCATCTACTTAACTTTTTGTGCGATGAAAAACTCCTCTTTTTGTGATCAGGGTAATTGCCAGTCAATACTGAAGAAATGAAAAACTCCTCTTTTTGTGATCAGGGTAATTGCCAGTCAATACTGAAGAAAAATAGTTTGCAGTTTCTTAAAAAAATCAAGTTATGGAATTTTTAACCACCAACTATACACCTTTAACATGAGAAAACGATACAGTTGTGCATTTTTTTGTCCCTTTTCTCTAACCTTGCATAAAGTTTTAAGCAAAACTGTGCTAATTTGTCTATTTTCAGCAAACTGTGACTTCGAACAACAGTCACACCCTTGTCAGTGGTCAAATGTTCACAACGAAAATTTTGACTGGACCATTAATAAAGGTTCAACAGTTTCCACTGGTACAGGACCTAGCTTTGACCACACAAGAGGAACTTCAACAGGTAATTCTAGAAATAAACCCTTAGGTTCTTATTGTAAACATTAGAGATCAAGGTACTTACAGGAAAACTATTAATGCATTTTACCGCTATTCCTTTTCTCTTATAAGTGTGGAAGATATCACTCTTGAAGAAGACGGGGTCATAGTTTATTGAACACTTGTGAGGATATTTGTAATAAAAGTGACTTTATGGTAAATTGATGATCTACTTTGTCTGAAATATGAACATGAACGGTGATCAAGCTCAAAACTCCATTGATATAACAAATTTGGCAGAGCAAACATGACCTCTGAAAACATCAGAGGTAGGATCAGGTGCCATGGAGGAGTAAGCATCTCCTGTCGACCGATCACATCCGCTGTGTGCTCCTTGTCATAATCGGACAAACGGAAAAAATCCGTAGACAATTAAGTGTAAAAATAATGGCCTAACAATTGTATAAAAACGTCAGTCAACATTCGACTTAATGATAGTATTTGCTGACAAGGTCATTGTGTCGACCATAGAAGTGTTAGCTTTAACAAGACTGTTGATATTCTTGTTTCATCAACTTATTTGTCAATGGCTTGCCTCGTTTTAGAAACTGTTCACACGTAGAGCATGCTCTTGCGAATCGAATCAAATGGGAGTCATAAACTCCAAATGCAGGTATATTGCTAAGTAGATAAGGGAAATTGGCGATAGAAAGTTGTTGAAGTCATCACTTTTATCATAAAGTTTTGTTGTTAGGTTACCATTTTATAAATTTAAAGAAAATCCTTATGCCAAAAGTGAACAATGTCAGCAAAATAAAAGAAAACAGTGAGATGTATAAAACATCCAGGACAGCATATTTTTAAATTCTCATTTCAACATTTAGACTCGCAAAGATATTCACCATATCAACTCACTGGATTAAGCTAGGGTGCGTTGCGTAAAGTCACACCATGTAGATATCATCTGTTAATCATACTTTGATATTACTGACATAGCATGTAATTTGTATTAATTTTTTATCTTTACTTTCAGGACATTATGCGTATATAGAGGCTAGTTCGCCAAGACAGCCAGGAGATATAGCACGTCTCGTGAGCCCTAGTCTTTCATCGTCAAACTCAAGATGTTTACATTTCTGGTATCATATGTACGGAAGATCAATGGGAACATTAAATGTGGTAGTGACGACTTCCATTGGGAACTCGACGGTTTGGAGTATAAGCGGAAATCAAGGAAATGCCTGGCATCGTGCCCAAGTCACTGTTACCAGTACACGAACATACCACGTGTGTAGAACTGCTTTGAAATAGAAAATAATTAATTATCCTTAAAATACTAATTAAGAATCAAAAGTTTATCAGCACTTAAAAATAGACAGTGTATATCGTTTTCATTAAAGAAAACACAGATCCTTAATTATTTTTGCAGATTTTAAATTGAAAAATCGTGTCTGCTTGAAATAAAAGAATATGTTTGCAAAAATCAGTTACTTCAGTCTCCTAAGACTTTAAGCTTGTAGTTCTTGCCTGTTGCATGCATGAAATAAAAATACAGATTTCATTTTTTATCTAGGTGGTGATGGAAGGAATTCGCGGGAGCAGTTACTACAGTGACATTGCCATAGATGACATTTTATTCACACAATCCTCGTGTTCAAGTAAATGTTTTGAATTGCTGCATATATGGCAATCCATTTGATTATTTATTTAAAAAAGAAGAGATATCTCTTTAACTTAGAAAGGTATCTCTTTTTGCCAAAGAGATATTTCCTTATCCCAGATAGATATATCTTTCAAAGTAAAGGAGATATCTCTCAAATTATCACTTTTACTTGAAGAGATATTTCTCGAAGTAAAAGAGATGTCTCTAAAAGAGGTATATCTCTGCAAGCGAAAAAGATGCCTTGAAAGGTTTCTCAAATTTCAAAGGGATACATGTATTTCTATTTTTAAAGAGATGTCTCTCTAAAGTAGGCAATTTCTTTGAAACTTATAGAGAGAACTTATTTTTTCCAAATAAATAGTAGGACTACTTGCAACATGAGTGGTTTGAATCCTTTTCCTTTTGGATTTATCTGTATAAAAATATTGAAATTAAGATGACCTGTGAAAGAAGGTTATATCTTTTTCAGTTTATCCATCTAATGCGACATCTCATTTGCCGTCCTCGCGTAAGTGTGATATCAATTACATGTATTATGTGGAAAGAGCATTAATTTTGATTTTTTTTATTACAGTGAAAATGGAAGAAATAGCATTTGAAATAAATGAATAAATTTTTACATAAAAGAAATAACATGAATAATTGATTATAAATATTCACTAAGGACAAAATGATAATAATAATCGGGCTTCCTTTGCGTTAGCTACGGACTTTCCGGTCCGACTCGTAGATGGTCATGGAAGTGCAAGTCAGGGGAGAGTGGAGGTCTTTTACAACGGTGCATGGGGTACCGTATGTGATGATCATTTTGACCAAAATGCTGCCTCTGTCGTATGCTCAAAAATGGGATATGAAAGGTAATGCTAAAAAGAAGGGTTCTTCATTAAATTACTTGTGAATAAATACCTTATCAGTTCATGTAAATTCGTATTGTTTCTAACACAGTAGCACGTGTTTTTATAAATTCTGGTCGTTTATAGTTTATAACACCAGGAATAATTTGAAAAGTGCATTATCATAAATTTTGAATAATAATTATAAAAATCAGTACTCAGAATTCATGCCAAATACTGAATAATCTTACTATATATATATATATATATATATATATATATATATATATATATATATATATATATATATATATATATATATTAGGGATGTCAACGAGTACCCGGTTAACCGGGTACTCGCTCGAACATCCGAGAATCGAATACTAAAAATGGTATTCGGTTACTCGGAAGTGTATTTTTTTCTTATTTCAAAGTACATATTTTTATCAAAAATTATCAAAAAAAAAAAAAAAAAAAAACTTAAAACTGCATGTATACGGTTATTAGCGTGTCGTCATGTACACCTGTGAATCACCCTTTATCGCCTGTGGCTGTGTATATACAGTAATTAGAGACCTATTATGGTCTTTAATTTTTGGATGGCTTCAATGATTGCTTTCAGTGAACATCGATTAAGTATGGTCTATTATCTTCAAATCATTTTTAAATTATTTAGTTAATAATTGGCAGCAAAATCTGACATGCGTAGAAATGCCGCTACCCACTTCAAAAGCGAAGAAATGTTTAGAAATAATTGAAGATTCAAAAAAATGTTGAAAGTCAGTTAGTGTAGTAAGTTTATACGGAGGAAGCAACCAGCCTATACTAGCGATTCCAACAACGTCCGTCCCTTCCCTTTGGCTAGTCTAATCATCACAAACCTGCGTAAAAGATTGTTCTCTTTTGCGTTGATGAAATAGATCCTAAACAAGAACTGTAAACCATTTGTAATTTTTGATGTATTAATTGTGTCTTTTGTGTTTATTTGATAAATAAATCTAGTACCAAAAAAATCAATCCCATTGAACTCGATGTTTATATGTATACATTTATAAACGTGATAAAACAGCTTTTGGGTTTGACAGAGCTTAACGTGACTCAAGAAAATTAACACACTTCAGTTGTATTTACATTTTTACATGTACCGAGTACCCGGGTACTCGATCGGAAAAACGTCCGAGTAACCGATTATCAAAAATTGACCGATTTGACATCCCTAATATATATATATATATATATATATATATATATATATATATATATATATATATATATATATATATATATATATATATATATACAAAGAAAAAGGTGAAGATAACGAACACTGATCAATCATCTCAAAAAAAGTTGTAAACAATACGAATCGCAAACAGGGTAAAAACATGTACCACTGGAAACAACAGATGGGATCAGATGGCTAGGAGGAGTAAACATCTCCATTCGACCGGTCTCACCTTCCATGAGCTCTAAAGTGTAAAAAGAATGGCTAACAAATATCATGAAACATGACAATCAAAATAAAACCCAACAGTAATTTTTCTTGCAAAAAGGGTCGACCATGGAATTTGCAAAATGTTGACTTTTAACTAAAGTACTGCAAATCCTATTATATAGACTTATTTCTTATTAGCATGTCTCGGTTTAAAAATTGATCGTAATCAAAAAATGTTCTTGTGCATCAAATCAGTTATGAGCCATAAGCATATACATGTGATATTAAAATATTGCATGAACAGGGGAAGTTGACGATGGAAAAGCTGAAGTCATCCCATTTGTCATATAGTTTAGGTGTTATTAATTTGGCCATTAACGTCTATAATCGGTAAAACACACTTGATCTTCAAAGATATTAATATTGTCAATGAGAAACTCCACCATTTTTGAACATCACCTTCAGAGTACTTGTATGTAGAATGAAAATGAATTTTAAAGAGTAGTTTTTCAAATGACATATCATAAAATATGAAATTTTCCGAGTCCATTTTTACTGAAGAATCAGTGGCCAATTATGTAATGATTTAAAGTCTGGTTTTTAATTTATTGTGAGGAAAGGTTGTATGAAATGTAGAAAAGTCACACGTTTTTAGTGCTATTGATTTTGATTTAAAGGGCTTTTTTTTTCTAGTTCGACAGCACAAGTTAGACCACACAATATTTTCGGGTCTGGGAAAGGTCTTGTTGTTCTGGATGACGTAAACTGCACTGGTCACGAGACAGGATTAGATAAATGCGGGCACAGTCCGCTAGGTGTCTCTGATTGTACTCATGCTGAGGATGTTGGGGTTGTATGCAGTAGTGGTATGTTGATATTCAAAAAAAAAAAAAAAAAGAAAAAGAAAAAAAAAATCGAGAAAGAAATTTTGTAAAGAAAAAGTAATCATGTTTTAACTTAATTGAATGAATTTTTATCATTAATGTGGCATTGCAAAATGAGATATCTAAATACTTTATACTCAAGTTCATTTATTAAAACATATATCAAAATAATCCCCATAAAAAAGCTAAATAAAGTCTAAGTTTGCGTTTCCTTCGTTTTCAGATTGCATGCATGTCAAAGCAGATATCGTCTTCATGTTGGACTCTTCAAGTTCAGAGGGATCTACAAATTTTCAACTTCAGAAAAACTTTGTGTCGTCCTTTGTAAATTCGCTAACCATAGGACCCTCTAATGTCCAAGTGGGAGTTATAACATTCTCCACTACTGCAACAGTCAACTTTGATCTAAATGACCATTTAACAAAATCAAGTGTAGTTTCAGCTATTAATAGAGTCAGATACGTTCAAGGATCCACTCACACTGATCTTGGATTAAATTTGGCATGGACTAGAGTATTCAATCAACCTGGTGATCGACCTGATGCTCAGAATATATTATTTGTTCTCACTGATGGGCAGTCCAGCAGCCCTGCCGCCACTAAGGCGCAGGCAGAAATGGTTCGTAATCACAATATTAAAACCTTCGCAATAGGGATCGGGTCTGGGATACGGAGACCAGAACTCAACAATATTTCCATGACGAGCGACTATGTGATTCAGGTGTCAGACTTTGCAAATCTTCAGTCAATCGCCACGAAGCTGAAAAATGATCTGTGCTCGGGTAAGTGTCATGAATGTAATTCAGATATTCTCCAAAGATAAAGATAAATTCTGTCAATTTGAAAATAAAAATCGAAAGACAAGATATGAAAAGAATTCAACGATGTCATTTAGTTTTAAAGAGTGTAATTACCATATTCCTTTGGAAATGTTACTTCTTCTAGAATAATGGTGGAAAAAAGACAGATAGATTTCTTCATGACACAGTTTTGATTATCATTTTGTTTTAAGCAAGAGTGTTGTCATGGGTCCCAAAAAAACTGAATAACTTATGAAATATTTCGAAAATGTTTCGCCTCCTATCCTTTGATTTGAATTAAGTTCGAGTGCAATCACATCATGTGAATCAATTTTTTGATTTTAACAAACATTAGTATCATGGCTACTAAAATTTGGTAATTTTCAGCAGTCGGGGTCTAATTAGAATTAAAATTGTGATCACTTGCGATCATGGTCGTAAAAGACATCGCAACTAAAATTGTATCTTATCTCTAAATAGAGTTTAGAGACTCGTGATTAACGTATTGTAACGTATACGAACGTATCTGAACGTATCAGATTGTGCCAAAAAGCGAACCCGGATTGTGATGTTCGCTTCAGATCGAGATTCAATCGTGGACTTGATCGTTACAATCCTATCAGAACGTTTGTGATCGTTTCTGAAAATTAATAATGACAGATAGTGTCAGAATAGGGGGCTTTTCATGTTAAATTTAAATAAATAAATAAGCAGTAAAGATTTTATCGCGATAGATATATGATTTGAAATTGATTTTTAATTCTGATTTAAGATGTTACAATGGTACAAGTAGCTAAAACTAAGAATATAAGGGGTTCCCGAGTTAGTTATTTATTTCCACGTCGGGTTTTATAATCTTTATAATTGTCAAAAGACATTCTTTTTTATAAAAAAGACAAATTAGGAGAACATTATATACATAATTCAAAATTTCTAAAGCTAAACCAGATGTTTCTGACGAGACTGCAGCTCTACTGGTTTGTATTTAAAAGTAGCACTTGGACTTGAAACTTTGCAATAGCAATACTTTACTATTTTTAGTAACCATGGCAACACCGTTCATCGAAATCAAAAACCGATATACAGAATTACGTATCTTAGTGTATTCTACTTGTGTGCCAAGTTATATTGAAATCAGACTTAAAATGTAGGAAGAGTAGCGTTTTGAAAAATTGATTACAGACGGACGGACAGACAGACGGACGGACGACGGATACCTTACTATCTCATAAGCTCTTCTGGTCTCTGACCAGTAGAGCTAAAAATAAATGATATTAAGCAGAGATGCATCTCTTCTTTTAGACTATTATAAAAAAAATCTAACATTTGAGAATAATCTTATGAGCGGTATGTTTTCCAACATTTTTTAGACAAATTTATCTCGAACACAATCTTGGTAGTATTATCATGAATATATCTCTTTAAAATCTGTAATATTGAATTTCTTATGTATTTAGACACTCCTGTAACAACCGCCTCTCCGCCTTTGAACTGCAAAGGTGAAATCTGCCAAGGGTACAATAACGTAAGTTTGTTTTTTTTACTTATATTTTTGCACTTAAACAGCATTTTAAATTTTTAGTGGTATATCTAAATTGTTTTTAAATAGATTTTTTAATTAATTCATATTTTTCAGACTTGTATTCTCCATGACTTTGCGAGAAATGGTTCACTTACAACAGGTTGTCAACATGTAAGCCAACATCATTCGTGGACGCGGCACTATTTATTCTAATAAAGAAGAAATCATTAGGTAATGCTTTGAATTGTATTTTAGGAATGTCATTACATTATGAGTGTACAGTATTCACCTTGTGGATCATGGCCAAGACAGTCATGTTGTTGTCGAACACAGCAGTGCATCGACTCTTTGCGAGGTTAGTACATTATTATTTTCCGGTTTTCCTATCAATTTTGGCATTCAAGAAGCGTTTTACATTCTATTGTTTTCTGAAAAGTATTATTTCTGTCGTTTTTTTTATAAATTTAGTTACAACACCCCTTACAACAGCCACAACAACAATGCCTACAACAACTCGTAAGACAATCAACAAACCTTTAGAACATGCAATTAATGATTATTTGATAAGTTTGAAAAAAAACTTCCCATCTGTCATATACAAACCTAGTTTTTAGTTTTATTTTCTAGAGGCGCCATGTCGAGATCATGGTCCCATTGGTTACTGTGCTAATGAAAAGAATACAATCTGCAACCCCACGGACGAGAGGGGGTGGGAGTATGCCCAGCATATGTGCCCCGTGACCTGTAACCTCTGTAAAGAGCACTTACGACAAGACTGCGAAGACAACGACAAGAATGGGATCTGTGAGCTGAATAGAGGCACCATCTGTAACGCTGCCGATCCCGAGGGAAAAGAATTTGCTATAAATGCCTGCGCAAAAACGTGCAACATGTGCACTGAATATTATGGTTTGTGAATTTTTAGTTTTTGTTTTTTTTAATTTTTGTCCCTTCGATAATGCTGTGCTTATTTTGAGATATTAAATTGAGTGTATTTCGACAGTTATCAAAAAACAAAACAGAGATTTTAATGTTTAAACAAGTAAATTGATTTCACCTATAATGTTTTTTTTAGAGATCCATGTTTGCTTTGCTTCCGATTTGTATTGTTTCAGTTGACTTTTGAGCTTGATTACTGTTCATTATCTCCATATTTCATATACATGTAATTACTTATTTTCTTTCTGACGTACATCAAGAACAAAATCAAAAAAACACTTATCAAAATTGACTCACATACTCGACGAAAAGCCCTTCTATCAAAATTCTCATGTCCTTATGTAGAAGAAATGATTGTCTTTCACAATCTTCAGAACTACGAGGGTTGTTCGGAAAGTTCGCCAATCTTCTTTATACTATCTTCAAGTAATTTAAAATGAGCACAATATCATGTGTAAAAATACTTATTTTGATTAAGTGTGAAGTTTCATTCCATGTGATTCAATAGAATTCATGTTGTTTAATTTTAAAATCAACACGCTTTTTTACCATGGAGCAAACTCAACAAAACTGTAACGTCAAAAACATACCGACATAAGGTTCTCAAAAATACTATCCCTATGCATTTCACACAGTATTGCCCGATACCAGTGCATCGATTTAAAACGTTTCTCTATCACCTGAAATCTATTTTGCTAACAATTGATCCAGTTTTTTTTGTTTGTCAGTGTTATATTTTTTTTCACTGCATAAGTGTGCGTTCACAAGATCAGCATCTGTGAAGCGTCAAACTCTTAGCATGACGATACTAATGTTTTGATACAGGGGCGTAGCTTGACTTTAAATTCTAGTGAGGCAAAACCATACATGTAGCAGCAAGAGGTCTGGGGCCGCCTTAAGCCCCCAGCAGGTTCCTGGTGGTGTCATGGGAAGGGGGGGGGGGGCACTCCGACAGAAATGGAGTTGGGGTTTTTAAAACGCAATAAAATTTCATTTGTTGTACTGGTTTCTTTATTCAAGACTTCAGCATGATACTACATATTGTAAAAGAATGTAAAAGAGTTAATAAATATGTTTACTAAAACTTTTGAAGCATTTAAAGGTGAAAGCGCATCTTATTAAACTTTTATTTCTTTAAAACTTCAACATTATAGAACTGCTTAAATGTTAAAAGAAATGCCATTAATTATGTTCCCCAAACGAAGTTTGGGAACATATTGTTTTTACTCTGTTTCTTATTATTATTATTATTATTATTATTATTAAGGTCTTCCGTTTCAGTCGGAAGACCTTATAGTGATTGTACTGTTTATTAAGGTCTTCCGTTTCAGTCGGAAGACCTTATAGTGATTGTACTGTTTATTAGGTCTTTCCACCTTTCTGTGGAAAGACCTATTGGTTTTCTTCTGTTTCTTATTATTCTTCTTATTTTTCCGCCGCAAGATTTTGAGTTTCAAGATTTATCGAAAAGATTTATAGTTCATGAGAATGTACTCTGGAAAAGATTTTAGCAGTTGACCCTGCGTATATGAACTTTGACCCCTCGAGGAGTTACATCCCCTTTCGCAATAAAAGCTTGTTATCGCTACTCCTTTGAAATGGTAAACCGTAGAGATATGAAACCTTCACCAATGTCCTCGACTAATTTAGGGGACTCTTCAATCTATTCATTGCGAAAGTATTCGTCGACCCCTTTTATGAGTTATTGCCCCTCCAAGTTTTTGATTTTTAGAAATAATTTAAAATTTTTAAAACAATAAGTCATAGAGACATGAAACCAACTGCATTAGATTCTTTGACCTCAGACCTTAAAATATATGCAAAGGTCAAAGGTCAAGGTCATTCAAAATATGAGAAATTAAGCTCTTTTTATATCTCTTTTGTCTTTCAACATATACTAAATATCTTTGCATCATTAATATGCCTCTTAAAACTACTTCAAAGATTTTCATACTTGTCCCCTAAGATTTACCCTTTTAAAAGTTATTGCCCCTTTTACTGAAAACATTGTTATCGCTACTCCTCCAAAACTGTAAACCGTAGAGACACAAAACCTTCACTAATGTCTTCAGGGTCTTTAGACACAACTTCAATCTATTCAGTGCGAAAGTATCCGATGACCCCTTATGTGAGTTATCGCTCTTTAACGTCTTTGCGCTTACTAGTAAACCTTATAACTTTAAAACTAAAAGTTGTAGAAGCATGGGGTCAAGTGCAATGTGACCCTTGACCTTTGACCTTGAATATTTGTTCAAGGTCAAAGGTCAAGGTCATTTCAAAATTTTTAAAAATTTTCATTTTTTCTATCTTTCAAGCCATTTATGGATTCTTTTTGGATAAAAATTATCATTAGAGAGTAAAATATGAAAAAAATATGAAATTTAAAGAAGGTGGAAAGACCTCTAATTGTTCAAGAACAATTAGTCTCCTGGTTAGGTCTTTCCACCTTTCTGTGGAAAGACCTCTTGAAATGCTTATGTTTATTAGGTCTTTCCACCTTTCTGTGGAAAGACCTCTTGAAATGCTTATGTTTATTAGGTCTTTCCACCTTTCTGTGGAAAGACCTCTTGAAATGCTTCCGTTTATTATTAGGTCTTTCCACCTTTCTGTGGAAAGACCTCTTGAAATGCTTCCGTTTATTATTATTATTATTATTCTTCCGCTACGGCTTTTTGATCCGAAAGACTTATCGAAAAACTTTATAGTTCATGATACTCGACTACTTAAATTATTTCGAAAAACATGTGGCCAGCTATTTAACCTTTGACCCTTGCGTAGTTATTGCCCCTTGCACAAAAATCCTTGTTATCGCTACTCCTTAGAAACCGTAAACCATAGAGGTAGGAAACCTTCACCAATGTCTTTGACTAATTGAGAGGACTCTTCAATCTTTTCATTGCGAAAGTATTCATTGACCCCTTTATGAGTTATTGCCCCTGAAAGTTTTTGATGTTCACGAATAACTAAATTTTTTTAAAATGATAAGTCGTAGAGACATGGGACCAACTGCATAAGATTCATTGACCTTTGACCTTAAAATATATGCAAAGGTCAAAGGTCAAGGTCATTCAAAATATGAGAAATTAAGCTCTTTTTATATCTCTTTTGTCTTTCAACATGTACTTAATATCTTTGCATCATTAATATGTCCTCTTAAAACTATTTCAAAGATTTCATACTTGTCCCCTAAGATTAACCCCTTTAAAAGTTATTGCCCCTTGTGCGAAAAACCTTGTTATCACTACTCCTCCGTAACCGTAAACCGTAGAGACACAAAACCTTCACTAATGTCTTCAGGGTCTTTAGACACAACTTCAATCTATTCAGTGCGAATTTATTTGATGACCCCTCATATGAATTATCGCCCTTTAACATCTCTGTGCTTACTATTAAACCTTATAACTTTAAAACTATAAGTCGTAGAAGCATGGGGTCAAGTGCAATGTGATTCTTGATCTTTGACCTTCAATATGTGGGAAAGGTCAAAGGTCAAGGTCATTTCAAAATTTTTAAAATTTCATTTTTTTCTATCTTTCCAGCCATTTATGGATTCTTTTTGCATAAAAATTAACATTTTAGAGAGTAAAGTATAAAAATAATAGAAATTTAAAGAAGGTGGAAAGACCTCTAATTGTTCGAGAACAATTAGTCTACTAGTTATTATTATTATTATTATTTTTTTCCCATTTTTTGTCCAAGCGATTTCTCAGAGATGGCTCAATGGATTTTCTTGAAACTTTCAGAGATTATGACAAATAAAATAAACTAAAAACATTTTTAAGGATTTTGCAAAATTCACTTCCGGTCGTCAGATATGTCCGATTTCCGTTTTTTCAAAAGAGATCATGTCCGGACGATATCTCAGAAACGGTAAAAGATTAAGACTTCAAACTTTCAGGGATTATTGATCATGACAAGTACGTTTGTGGAACATGTTCAAATTTGTCAGCCGTCACTTCCGGTCGTCACAGGAAGTGATCAAAGGAATCGAAAAATTCAACTTTTCTTATTTTAATCAAATCTTGCATCACTTTATTGCATCTGTTTTGCAGTTTCGAAATATGTTGGTCCCACCGGAAACAGAAACGTCAACTTCCGGTTACAAGCGAAAAACTACATAATTTGAGTATTTTACTTTCCCATAAATATCGCTTATAGATGAAGTATTTGAAATGATTTTTAGATATGTTATTTAGACTGCAAATGTCTAAAGTAACATCAAATATCTTGGTAAAATTCACTTCCGGTCGCGTGTTTTACTGTCCGCAAAATGAGAACTTGTCAAAGTGAGATCTCAGAAACGGTAAGAGATTAAGACACCAAACTTATATGAGTAATAGAGCTTAATGAGTAGGCAAAACCATTTGGGTTAATAGCGTCAGCCGTCACTTCCGGTCGTCACAGGAAGTGATCAAAGAAACCAAGAATTTCAACTTTTCTCTTTTGAAATAAATCTTGCATCATATAATTGAATCTCTTTCACAGTTTCTATATGTGTTGGTCTCACTGGAAACAAAAAAACGACAACTTCCGGTTATAAGAGAAAACTATGTAATTGGGATTTTTAACTTTCCCAAAAATATCGCTTATAGATAAAGTTTTTGAAATGATTTTCATTTATGTTATTGAGTCTGCAATTGTCTAGTGTGAAGTCAACCATCTTAGGAAAATGCACTTCCGGTCGCGTGTTTTTCTGTCCTCAAATTGAGATTTTGTTCACCAAATTCCTCAGAAACAGTACACTGCTGAAGTCTAAAACTTTCAGAACTGATAGTCAGTCCTCAGTTTATTTGCATCATGTAAAAATCGTACGTTGCCGTCACTTCCGGTCGTGACAGGAAGCGATGAAAAAAAAGTGAATTTTTAAAGTTTTTTTTCTTTTTACAGAAGTGTTTGGCTAATACGGATGTTAGATAGACTATAACAATGCAATTTATTTTCACCGGAAGTGCCAACCGAAAAACCGGAAGTTGTCTCAAACATGAGTAGTTTTTCTTAGAAACTTTTAGGGAGGATCAGTTGTGAATAATTTAGGTGTAAAATGAACATTTTATTCGTTTGGAGCACTTTCAATCATGAGGAAGTACATAAAGAAAACAGGAAAGTAATTCGGTTTTTTTTTAATTGTATTTACATATCTTTGGAAGCCTTGAGATAACTTTTGTTAATTATTTAGAGTAATCTTATTGACAAGATTGTGTTTTTTTTCCCCGAAGAAGTCAAGAAAACGGAAGACCTGTTATTGCCTAGGCAATAAGTATCTAGTTATTATTATTATTATTATTTTTTTCCCATTTTTTGTCCAAGCGATTTCTCAGAGATGGCTCAATGGATTTTCTTGAAACTTTCAGGGTTTATGACAAATAAAATAAACTAAAAACATTTTTAAGGATTTTGCAAAATTCACTTCCGGTCGTCAGATATGTCCGATTTCCGTTTTTTCAAAAGAGTTCATGTCCGGACGTTTTCTCAAAAACGGCAAAAGATTAAGACCTCAAACTTTCAGGGATTATAGATCATGACAAGTATGTTTGTGGAACATGTTTAAATCCGTCAGCCGTCACTTCCGGTCGTCACAGGAAGTGATCAAAGAAATCGAAAATTTCAACTTTTCTTATTTTAATTAAATCTTGCATCACTTAATTGCATCTGTTTTGCAGTTTCGAAATATGTTGGTCCCACTGGAAACAGAAACGTCAACTTCCGGTTACAAGCGAAAAACTACATAATTTGAGCATTTTACTTTCCCATAAATATCGTTTATAGAAGAAGTATTTGAATTGATTTTTAGATATGTTATTCAGACTGCAAATGTCTAGAGTAACGTCAAATATCTTGGTAAAATTCACTTCCGGTCGCGTGTTTTACTGTCCGCAAAATGAGAACTTGTCAAAGTGAGATCTCAGAAACGGTAAGAGATTAAGACACCAAACTTATATGAGTAATAGAGCTTAATGAGTAGGCAAAACCCTTTGGGTTAATAGCGTCAACCGTCTCTTCCGGTCTTCACAGGAAGTGATCAAAGAAATCAAGAATTTCAACTTTTCTCTTTTGAGTTAAATCTTGCATCATATAATTGAATCTCTTTCACAGTTTCTATATGTGTTGGTCTCACTGGAAACAAAAAAACGACAACTTCCGGTTATAAGACAAAACTATGTAAATGGGATTTTTAACTTTCCCAAAAATATCGCTTATAGATAAAGTTTTTGAAATGATTTTTATTTATGTTATTGAGTCTGCAATTGTCTAGTGTGAAGTCAACCATCTTAGAAAAATGTGCACTTCCGGTCGCGTGTTTTTCTGTCCTCAAATTGAGATTTTGTTCACCAAATTGCTCAGAAACAGTACATTGCTGAAGTCTAAAACTTTCAGAACTGATAGAGAGTCCTCAGTTCATCTGCATAATGTAAAAATCGTACGTTGCCGTCACTTCCGGTCGTGACAGGAAGCGATGAAAAAAGTAAATTTTTAAAGTTTTTCTTTCTTTTTACAGAAATGTTTGGCTAATACGGATGTTAGATAGACTGTAACAATGCAATTTATTTTCACCGGAAGGCCCAACCGAAAAACCGGAAGTTGTCTCAAACATGAGTAGTTTTTCTTAGAAACTTTTAGGGAGGATCAGTTGTGAATAATTTAGGTGTAGAATGAACATTTTATTCGTTTGGAGCACTTTCAATCATGACGTAGTACATAAAGAAAACGGGAAAGTAATTCCGTTTTTTTTTTATTGTATTTACATATCTTTGGAAACCTTGAGATAACTTTTGTTAATTTTTTAGAGTAATCTTATTGACAAGATTGTGGTTTTTTTCCGAAGAAGTCAAGAAAACGGAAGAACTGTTATTGCCTAGGCAATAAGTATCTAGTAATTATTCTTTTTTATACTTATTTCTTCTCCGGTACTTTTTTGTCCGCGAGTGTTCTCGGGAACTGCTCATCCAATTGAGTTAAAACCTTTTTAGGGTTACTAGGCATGTTATGTAGATTTGCGGAACGAAGGTCATTTTGCGCGCACGTGCATGCATGTGCGTGCGCGTGCAATGCATGAAATGACCAATATACTTGATATAGCTGTAACTTTTATATTTTTTGATGAAATGCTTTGATACTCAGAATATAAGGATACATTAAAAGTGTAAACAAGATGAGATGGTCAACATGCACATGCATGCACGTGCGCGCACGCGCAAAGCGTAAAATGACCAATATACTTGATATAGTCGTAACTTTTATATTTTTTGATGAAATGCTTTGATACTCAAAATATTTATATATATTTAAAGTGTAGACAAGATGACATGGTCATCATGCACATGCATGCATATGCATGCACGTGCGCGCGTGTGCAATTTCTTAAATGACCAATATACTTAATATAGTCGTAAGTTTTATATTTTTTGATGAAATGCTTTGATATTAAGAATATACAGATATATTAAAAATGTAGACAAGATGATGTGGACATCATGAACATGCATGCACATGCGCGCGCGTGCAATGTGTTAAATGACCAATATACTTAATATAGCCGTAACTTTTATATTTTTTGATGAAAAGCTTTGATACTAGGAATAAACAGACAAATTATAAGTGTAGACAAGATGGCATGGTCATTATGAACATGCATATAGGTGCGCGTGCGCGCAATGCTAAGATGACCAATATACTTGATATAGCCGGAACGTATATATTTTTGATGAAATGTTTTGATACTGAGAATATAAAGATGCATTAATAGTATAGATGGGATGACATGGTCATCCTGCACATGCATGTACGTGCGCGCGCGTAAAATGCAAAAAACGACCAATATACTTCATTTCCTTATTTAATGAAGGTTACAGGAAATAAGACACCAAAAGGGTGTTGGGGAGCGTTTGGGGAACATCTGTAACGGTCCCCGTTACAATTATAACTAGTTTTACATATAATCTGCAACGTATTGTTGATTATGGGAAGGGATGGTGGTGGTGAAAAATCTAGTGAGGCAGTTGCCTCATTGCCACAATGGAAGCTACGCCCCTGTGATAAGATTTTTACAGATAATCCGTTTTCTCACAGATCACCATCGTCTAAGCAGATTAGTCTATCATTCAAATAGCGCTTGTACCATGTACACACACATGCATGGCTCGATTTTACATATTTCCTACTTCCTCCGGCATTTTTTTCTGGAGTTTTCCAGAGTACAACACAAAATTGTACGGTTAACTGCTGCAGCTCCTTGACGTTATACGACGTCACCTTTTTGCCTTTTTCAATGAGGACTACCTATCTTCTGAAACTGACTTCTTTTCAACGAAGTAAAATATTTCTTCATAATTTGGAATCGGAAACGATGAAACAATTCTTAATTTGAACGTATAGAATTTTCCTGTTTTTGTGTTATTTTGCAGAGGATATAACTTCAGACATTATTTAGTGTCTTGATTGTAAATTACCAAATTTTGACCTGCTCCGTGATCCGATTTCCCATTTTTAAAGTCTAAATAAGTTTGAAATAAACCACAATATTTAAAAAAAAAATTAATACTTATCATTTGGATTTACTGTTGAAATATTTCTTCCAAATTTGGATATAACATGACGTTGAGTAAAAAAGGTTGTGACTGTAGTCCACGAACTTTCCGAACAACCCTCGTAAAACCACTTTGACCTCCTACTAAAAACAAACTTTTTTTTAAAAATAAATGACTAATTTGAGCATTATTGATACGACGAGGGATGCTTGCCTATCAGATGTTATTTAGAAAATAAAGACCTAATTGTAAAGAAAAAATTAATGTATTTTCAAAGTAAACTTTTGACTCCAGTCATTATTGACTCTATTTAAGAGATTTTGAAGAGAAATAAGAAAAAATCAATTGTAATTATGTCTTAATAATATGCCATATGAAAGGAATATGTTTTTATATTATACGGAAGTGGATCCGCTGTATCCCCTACTACTTAATCTACATGTATGTGCATTTGCCATCGGATTGAAGAGCTAAAAAATGACTAAAATCCGACGACATTTAGTTTTAAGATTTTTACTGACATACTCAAAACTAAAATATTCTGAAGACATTGATTTTTTCTCGAGTAGCTATTTACAACGAGAAACACGAGTTTACTACAAAGACAACCCCAGCAACAACTACACCGACGACAACAACTACTACACCAACAACTACCACCACATCGACGACAACAACAACAACGCCAAAACCAACAACACCAAAACCAACTACAACAACAAAACCAACGACAACAACTCCCACAACCATGACAACAACACCAACAACTACGACAACAACAACACCAAAACCAACGACAACACCGAAACCAACGACAACGACTACAACAACCACGACAACAACAACTACGACACAGAAACCGACAACTGCTTCAACAGCTACACCCACAACTACTTCACCTCCACCACCAACATCAACAGCTTCACCTTCAACAACGACAACTCCCACTCCGACGACAACTAGCCCTACAACTACATCCACCACGCCAGTTCCAACAACGACAGAAATGGAACCGTCAACAACAGAGGAGAATTCGGGGGTTATAATCATTGGTTAAAAAATTAGCAAGGTCATTCAATAATGAAATATACATATTATAAATTGTACTGCCACACTTTTACTGTTTTGGATCAATAAAGGATTAAGATGTTTTCTCCTATATAGATCTATTACCTAACGTCAATAAATGTACCTAAAACAATTATGTTTATCTACTTGTTTGATTTTGGATCAAGACTTTTCGCCTTTTTGTATGCAGAAAGATTTAACTGTATCATTTAAATATGGTTCATAATATATGTCATATTCCCATACTAACAACCAAAGAAAGAATTTTATTGTTTAAGTAATCTTCATTGAATATGGAGATTGCTTAAACAATAAAATGCTTTCTCTAGTTGTTAGTATGGGAATTAATGTTGCAGCTATTACAGAAAAAATGAATAACCCGCTTACGCGGGTTATGTGATTGTTTTGCAATAGCTACAACGTTAACTCCCATATTAAGAAAGAAAAGAAAGATATTTTATTGTTTATATTTATATCTGTGCAAATAATCATTAAGTAGATTAAGTAGTTTAAATATTCTATTATTGATATGTACGTCATTGTACGTTTCATTGATGGAAGAGCCACTGCTAAAGAAATCTGTACAGGTGATATGCTTTGTGGTGTTAACTGATTGATAAAAGATAATGGTTTTCTTAAGAAATAAAGGAGAAAATATTTTCTAGTACACAATCACGGGACATCTCAGGGTTTCCTTGTTTAAGTTTGCTTTATAACAAAAAAATTTTAATGAACTTTGAAAATCATCATTAATATTATGAATTTACAGGACATGCCTGTTATACCATTGTTTCACGAGAAAAAAATCTATATAAAAGAGTTGTATACGTGAAGTAAGTCATTCGAATAAGCTTTATTTATTTAACTTTATTTTCTTACTTTTAAGACCTCTAGACTATTTTGAAATATTGCATGACCACTATAAACGTCAAAGAATGGGGTCAGGTGGATGGAGGAGTAAGCATCCCCTGTCGGCCGGTCACACCAGCTCCTAGTCCTCGGGCAAACGGTAAAATCCGTAGACAATTCATTGTGAAAATAATAGCCTGACAATTTGTATGAAAAACGTCAGTTAAAATTCCACTTAACGAAAAAAATGTATTTGCTAATAAGGTCATAGTATCGACCATACAATTCGCAAAAAATGTTGACTTTAAACGAGACTGTTGATATCATTGTATCATCAACTTATTGGTCAACAGCTTGTCTCGTTTAAGAAATTGTTTGTACGTAGATCATGCTCTTGCGTATCGAAACAACTGGAAGACATTAACTCCATATGCAGGTGATGCTGGTATGTTGCTACATAAATAAGGGAAGTTGACAATAGAAAAGTTGAAGTCATCACGTCTATCAAAATGTTTTGTAGTTAGTTTGCCGATAATGTCTCTAGTAAAATATCCAAATATGAAAAGATGCGTCAGTCTCAGTGGTGTCCATTACTTCGAGTTCAAATGAATATATCGAATCAATGTAGGAATGAAAGTGATTACATGTATTATTAATTGATAAAATGCCGTTAATATATATATATCTTAATGTCGAATTGAAGGGAACAGCAAGAAACTTCTTTTCATGTAGAAGTTTTTGAATAAATTCTGCTTCATCTGAATACAAAAATAGGACTGCTAACAAGAAACTAGTACTCACTCCGAGCAATGAGGGGTATTCTATCCGATTGAACACTCTTATATATGATATTGTTGCCTGATGCCACGAGCACCAGGCATGTTGAGGACTAATTTTTTTCCATGGTGCAAAACTTTAGGTTGTAGCTATCGCGTTTTCACTTGTAGTCCTGTCGTTTTCTCTCTGAGATACAGACAATAATTATGTTTATCTGAATTTAGTTTATTTTTTTATCCTTCTGAATTAGCTGGAGTCAAGTTATATTTTTAAAAAGTAGTGATGTTTTGTCACAATTCACTCAATATGTACGGTAACAAAACATTTCACGCGAAAAGACAGTCAGTTCTTCTCTTCCTAGTACCTTATGCATCAAAACACGTTTGGCACATAAAATTCAGAACGTCAAATGATTTCTATTATACTCGATAGTGATAATGTAATTTTAAAACAATAATTAAAATCATAATAAAAAGCTGCAATAGCAATCTCGCCTTGACAAGATAACTTTGTTGATTAAAGGCTATGTGGATGGCAGAAATACACCACCATAACTAATTGATTTTTGTGTGAGGAAGTAGGTTATATTTATCTTACTCATGAATGAAGTCGCCCTGAGTTACAAACATCGATCTTTAACAAACAAAATGCAATGATGATAACAAACATGTCCATAGATTTCATGCAGAATGAATTCTTATTGCTATGTTGTTGATGAGAAAGGTGAGTTCATATTGTTTTTGATTTCTATTTGTCGAAATAAAACAAGAATAATATATCTTTAATTATCTTATTCTAGTCGTCTAACAGGTATCATTGAAATCGTATCCAAACTGCATTTTGCCACTTAATTTTGTGACAAATGAATTTTTAATGGCTACTAAACATAAAATTCTTTCATTAAGTTCTTTTAAAATAATCCTCCTACAGTTTTTAATCTATTGACAATAAAACTTGGTTCCCCTTAGACTATACATATTGAAATACATTAATTCTTTACATCCTGTTTTTGATAAGAATGAACTACTGTATATTCCTATATTTTCGCGAGATATCTATTTGGTATTTATTAGAGAGATAAAATTTAGCTATTAGCTATGGTGTTCGATGAATATTATCCTTAACAAAATAAATATACGCGAGAATAAAATTTTCGCCAGCAGACAGACTCGCGTAATTACGCAAATAAAAAGTTGTTTACAATATTTTGTAATGGTAACAAAAATTGGAACAAGTGGAATTCTTTTTTTAAAAACACTTCTCTGAAAGTTAACTTTTCAATAGAACTTTATGAGTGAAAAATTCTCGAATGGGACATAAAACAACACACAATCAATCAATCCAATAAAACTTGGCACACGAGTAGAATATTTCAAGGCTCATAAATCAGTTGAAGATTCTTTTGAATTGTGTTGCCATGGTTACTAAAATGAATAAGCTTTATTTTTTTTTCTCTAAACGCTATTCCTCCTACAGTTTCTGATTTCAATATCGCTTCAAGTTTAGAAAAACATCAAGGTACTTTCCAATTATTCTCTTCAACACGTCACATTAATATGCAAGCTGCTTAGCATGTTGTGAAGATAGAGCCCCAATAGGCTTTCGAAGTCCATGAAGTATATGGTTTGTGAGGACTGCTCTTCAACTTAGATTTTTATTTGTTTTCCATATTCCCCTTGCTGGTTAAACATTTCTTAAACAACACTTACTACTTGTATTATACAACTAAGAGATTCATGATGCACAGAAAGTGTCTGAAGTCTGATATGATAAAAAGTTTGAATAATTTAAAGTCAATGAGTGGAAGACGAAGTATGATTTATACTGCAACACTTTGTATCGCTATTTTTTTTTTAATTATAGGGACAATTTGAATCAAAAAGAATTGAAAGATTTAGACACGACAAACTGAATTATTTTCTCTTCTTCTAGATTCAAAGCATGTGCCACAGAGTTCCAATAATTTCCCAAACATTTTCATACAAATTGTCAGGAACTGAAAAATCAGGATACGCATTTTAAACTATGTACCCGACAAGCAGAGCTCAAGATGCTGCACGGTGTCATGTTTGCGAAAATTTAGACATTCATGTACGCTGTGTAACTTGTCGAGAAGATCTTTGTCGCAGTTGTGTAAACAAGCATTTTGATTCCGATTTATCAAAGACACACAACATTGTTAGCTACAAAAACAGACATGATTGTAAAATAAGGTTTTCAGTATGTGATATTCATAAACAGATCTGCGATATACTATGTGAAACTTGCTCAAAACCAGTATGTAGCAAATGTATAGTAAGTAAACATCAGTCGCATTTACTGCGTGAAGTTGATGAAGTAGTCAAGATAAAAAGGAAAGAACTCCAGAAAGACATATTTTTCATTGAAAATAATACAATACCAAACTTCTTACAAGTGATATCGCAAGTGGAAACTGAACTTTCCCATCTCCTCAGAAAGTACAAAAAACTCCACAAAGCCGTTGAAAACCAAGCAAAATATCTTCACACTGCAGTAGATAAAATGTTGGAAAATATCAAAAGACAGCTGCGGCAAATGGAGGAACTCCACGAAATAAGATTGAGGAATACATTGATATCATTGAAAAACTCGCTTTCCATAACGAGAAAAAACATTTTAATGAGCAAAGACAGTCTCCAACGTGGTGAAGTATTAGAAATCCTGAATAATACTTCAAATCTTGACAAGAAATTAAATCCAACATACGAGAAAATACAATACCCTTTGTTCATGGAAAAGGCCATAACAGAGAGGGGCTTAAAGGAAATGTTTGGAATTATCAAGCATCCACTTTCACCATCTCAGAGCGAATCTGCTGCACGTCATTTACTAAAAGAAGCAAGAGTGCTTTCAACCATTCCTTTTGAAAAAGCCTCTGTACTGCGTGGGATAGCATGCACAAATTCCGAGGCAGCGTGGATCAGTGAATGTGATAACCACGTTATCATAAGAAAGGATATTTAGGGCGAAATAACAGGAAGTGTCCAATTGCATGAATTTGCCGAAGCAATTTCATCAAATATGGACGGCGAACTATTTTTCACATGTTGGAAAACCAGATCAGTTATGAAGTATAATGAAACTGGATTTCATAAAATTCATCAGTTTAATGATTGGTTACCAAAGGGACTTTACTGTACACCGTTAGAAGATTTACTTGTCTGCATGAAGAGCGACAGTAACCAAAGTCGGGTTGTTCGATTTAAAGGCAATAAGATTACCCAAACAATTCAGTATGATGGAAATAATCCCCTATTTGAAAATGCCGCTTTTGTTACGGAAAATAGAAATGGTGATGTCTGCGTTTGTAATTCATGTCATGACAAAAGAGATAGTATCGTGGTAGTT